GAGAGAGAGAGAGAGAGAGAGAGAGAGAGAGAGAGAGAGAGAGAGAGAGAGAGAGAGAGAGAGAGAGAGAGAGAGAGAGAGAGAGAGAGAGAGAGAGAGAGAGAGAGAGAGAGAGAGAGAGGGAGGGAAAGAAAGGAAAGAAGAGAGAAAAAAAAGAGAGTGAGAGAAGAGAGGAGGGAGAAGGAGAGAGAAAGAGAAAAGAGTGAGAGAGAAAGAAGCCCTTCACATTGTCTGATCTGGCAATTAGAGTAGCGAAAGGGTCAAAGATCCTAAGAAAACTGACTTAGGATTACCCCAACATGAGTGATCGAGTGCAAGATAACCAATATTTCTTATGACTCGGATTCACTCTACAGGAAGGTGTTAGAGTAGCAATCCCAGAATTGGAACCCAAAAACACTATCTTAAGATGACCCCGAGTCAAATGTTTATGCAATAAGGGAAGAAACCAAGGAAGAGTGGGGGGGTAGAAGAATGAAGAAATAAAATAAAAATATAAACGAACGTTGGAAGGGGTAAGGTTTAAAGATAAGAGGATGAAGAATGTGGGTGCAAGTGTAAAGGGGTGTTTGTGGGGCACATAGAGGCAATGAAAAGGCAGGGGCACATAGAGGCAATGAAAAGGTAGGGGAAGATAAAGGTTATGAGGTTTAACCGCGGTCAAGATTTGATAAGGCGTAAAAGGGGGGAAAGGAGGTGAATGAATGATCGGCACAGGCAAGAGTATAGGGAGTGATAGGCATGCACAGGAGTGTAGGGAGTGATAGGAGAAGGAAGAAAGAGGGGAGGAAGCCGGGTCCATGCCCAGACACGGGTCCGTAATTCGATGAAAAAGAAAGAGAGAGAGAGAGAGAGAGAGAGGATGACTGAGAAGAAGAGAGAGATCGAGAGTGAGAGGCAGAGAGAAAAATTGATAGGAAGGGAGAAGAGGAAAGCCGGGCCCGCGCCTAAGCGTAGGTATGTGACTTGGTGTAGGAGAGAGACAGAGAGAGAGAGAGAGAGAGGGAGGCGAGAGGAGAGGAGAGGAGGAAAGCAGGCCCTCGCCTAGATGCGGGTCTATAACTTAGTGAAAGAGAGAGACGAGAGGAAGGGAGAGGAGGAAAGCCTGGCCCATGCCTAAGCTCGGGTCCATGACCCAGTGAATGTGAGAGAGAGAGACGAGAGGAAGAGAGAGAGATGAGAGGAAGGGAGAGGAAGAAATTCGGGCCTGCACCTAGGCGGCGGGTTCGTGGCTTGGTGAAAGAGAGAGGGATTAAGGCGAGAGGAAGAAAGAGGGGAAGAAGCCGGAACCACACCTAGATGCGAGTCCATGATTTTAGACGAGAGAGAGGGAACGAGTGAGTAGAGAGAGAGAGAAAGAGAGTGAGAGTTGCTTAGATCTGCCTTGAGTCCGAGCAGGAGAGAGAGAAGGAGAGAAGAGAGAGAAAGAGAGAGGAGAGAGAGAGAGAAAATTGAAAGAGAGGAAGAATAAAGAGAGCTGACTGGGGGATTAGTCCTCAATCCGAGATCGAGTGAGAGAGTGATAAGACGAGAAAGAAAGAGAGTAAGGATAATTGCCTAAGGTGGCCCTCGGGTCTGAACCGGGGGCTAGGTTGGTCTTAGCTTTCTTGATGTATTCTTGAAGGTGGGTTGAGTGCTTTGATATTGAAGTGAGGGTCTAGGGTTAAGGTTTATGAACTAGGGATTATGAAAAGTAGGAGTAAGGTGTATTGGGTAGGAACTATGGGAAATGTGACTAGAGTTTATGGGAGGAAGGACTAAGGGAGATGAAGGTAAATGGTATTAGGTTGGGTTTGGAAGTTCTAAGTTGGAAGTAGGAGATTCAAGGGGTAGTCCACAATGAGAGATAGTTTTCTCTCTCCTCTCCTTGGGCTGAAGAAGATAGAGTCAAAAAACACAAACCAAGGAAAAACTCATTGTATTGCATTAATGTTTGTACTTACATCCAACCACTACAAACTTCTTCAACTTACTTCAACTTAGAGTCACAAATGAGCATAAGGTGCTTATATAGCATCCACTTAAAACAAGAGTTGATGACTAAAAGAAAGCCAAATTCTTAAAAATTATGATTTTTATAAATTAAAATTGAATTCCGTTTTTGGGGCCTCACCCATAATCTTAAAAATGACGAGATAGTTCAAAAAAAGGCACGATAGACTATGGTGATCATTCGGGGCGTATTTCGGGCTCCTCCGACAACCTTCCAACAAAAATAACATCGTAAAAGTGATGGTCTTGGTGCAACGATCATTTTGATATATGATTTGATCCTTAAATCGAGGTTTCGAACCCTTCTTAAAATCTGACGAAAGATGAGAAACTTGCAATCTTAAACGCTTGTTCTTGTTTGTTTCTTGATGTTTTGGGTCGATCTTTCATCATAGAATGATGGGGAAGCTGTCATGATTATTTTGTGATAAAAATGGCTCGATTTAATTGTCGGAACATCATTTTCGAAATTGGAGAAGTTGCCGGAATATGAGATTCCGGTTGCCAAAAAATGTCACATGTTACAACCTCAAAATGCAGCATCTTTGGTCTTTCATCACATGTGATGTTTACTTCAAATCAAAGTCATCAACGTCATGG